CTCCGTCGTCACAGTGAGAGGTGGGAGAAGTGACTGCGACGAGTGTCATGGGAACTGCCTTTGACCGGCCATGGTGATGCAGGTGACGCGCCCGGTGTGCTATCGATAAGCATCGGCTGCACCTGCCCTGCGCTTGATGCCTGCCGGATGAGTACACCTTGCCCTCCAAGTCACGACACCACGTCCTATCATGGCGACTAATTATTTCCAGGAGCGGACAACGCCAGTCTCTCAGAATGGCTCGTCACCAGCAACTCCTTCCACCGGCGCTGCATCTCGTGGCGCAAATGCCTTGTCCAGTCGCATTACCAGTGTGCTTTCGGCTTCATATGCTGATTTGGAAATTCGAGATGCATTCGAAACTCTTGATGCCCGTGGAATTCAGAATACAGCCGAGACCCGGCGCCAGATTCGCTTGGATATACAAAAGGAAGTCATTCAGTGTAATGGCGAGATCGTAAAGGACTTCGGTGAAGTCGCCGAGGTAGGCAACAACGTTGAAGTCGTTGTACACGATGCTAAGTAAACCAGCAACTCAAACGCATTGGAAGCGCTATCAGCAGCCTCAACAGTTATTGTTCTGACATGCGAAGCCATATTGCTGCTGCAAACCGAGAAACTGGTCCCGTCTTGGAAGAAGCAACAGGCCTGATCCATCAGAGAAAACAGGTCGAATCGAAGCAGCAGATTCTGCAGGCTTTCACCTCGCATTTCCTCATCTCAGAAGAAGAGTCCACAATCTTGACCTCGACGGCTGAACCAGTCAACGAAGAATTCTTCCAGGCGCTCACACGAGTGAAGAAGATTCACCACGATTGTCAAGTACTTCTCGGTACAGAGAACCAGCAACTAGGGCTGGAGGTCTTAGAGCAGAGCTCCAAGCAGCTCAACGCAGCCTTTCAAAAGCTCTACCGCTGGATACAGCGCGAGTTCAAGACTCTCGACTTGGAAAACCCACAGATTAGTGCTTCTGTGAGACGATCTCTTCGTGTACTTGCTGAACGGCCCACCCTGTTTCAGAGCTGCCTCGACTTTTTCGCAGAAGCTCGAGAGTCTATCTTGTCAGACGCTTTCCATGCTGCGCTTACGGGCTCAACATCGGAGGAGCACATCGCCACCAAGCCTATCGAGTTCCATGCTCACGACCCACTACGCTATGTTGGTGACATGTTGGCTTGGGCCCACTCGACTACTGTGTCAGAGAGAGAAGCGCTCGAGAATCTCTTCATCTCGGACGGCGACGAAATCCAGCGCTCTATCCAGGCAGGACTAGAAAGCGAGCCGTGGTTACGAGAAGACGAAGAAATTTTCGACGGACGAAGAGCTTTGAACCAGCTCGTTAGCCGCGACTTGACCAGCGTGGCACGCCTTCTGCGACAGCGAACCGAGCAGGTCATCCAGAGTCATGAGGATGCCACACTTGCATACAAGATTGCCAATCTGATTGGCTTCTACAAGGGCACATTTGCCAAATTGCTAGGAGCGGACTCTGAGGTCTTGGACGTGTTTGACACGTTAGAAGCTTCAGCAATGCGACAATTCCGCGCCAACATGAGAGACTACGTCGTCAATGTACAGGCTGATCTTGCCGTGGCTCCTGCAGATCTATCACCTCCCGAGTTCCTGGAAGAGGCATTGCAAACCCTCAAAGTACTAGCAAAGAGCTACGACACCTCAGTCGCAGCCACCAACCACAACGGCGAGGGCTTCCAAACCGTACTCGCAGAAGCTCTGGATCCATTCCTAAGCGGATGCGAAAATTTGCAGAAAGGCATGCAACAACCAGATAGTGCCATATTCGCCATAAACTGCCTTTTCGCTGCCAAAGGCACAATGTCACTGTACCCTTTCGCGAAGTCGCGAATTATCACAATGGATGAGAATATTGCAGGGCAAGTCACAGCGCTCACAGAGTATCAACATCAATTCTTGCTTCACGAATCTGGTCTTAATACCCTCTTGGAGGCACTCGCAACCATCACGGAGTCAGAAGAGAGCATCAAATCAATCCCTGAACTCGGGTCGTTCAAGCCTGATGCACTTGTCGCAGCTAGTCAACAGCTCGACGAGTTTCTCCCATCTGCACTCATCGACGCCTCGGAGAATCTCAAGAGGCTGCAGAATCGCGAGATGATACAAGACATTACAGAGGAGGCAGCCAACAAGTTTTGTGAGGACTTTGAGCTAGTGGAGGCCAAAATAATAGCGGCGGATGATTTGACATATGATGAAGAGAAGGACGATGAGGAGCAGAAACCTGGTCTGAGGGACCTGTTTCCCAGGACAAGCGGGGAGATTAGAGTACTGCTTAGTTGAATGTAGACATGGTAGAAAAAATATAAACGTTTGGTTGAAGTCGGAGGGGATTTATATATCTGTACACCCCATTTATCGTGACCACCCACTCCACCTCACATCGTCATAGTCCTCCGCTCCCTGACGTCGTTGGGAATATGAACGTGTTCAATGGCGGTACCAGATCTCATTGCGGCTTCTTCTTCTCCCACTCCTCTGGCGTATGACATTTCGCCGTCCACGCATGTATGGCCGCAATTTCCTCTTTGAGCGTCGCATTAACCAGTCTATGCCGTGCCAATGTTGTCTTTTTTGTGAATTGGGGAGAGACGATGATGGCTTCGTACATTTGGCCGCACCCACCTGGTAAGGATTAGATGGTTGTGGGTTGTGCAATCTCTTTAAACTCTATAATACGGAAATTGGGAAAGTGCACATGTTTTGGGGGGATGGATATGCGAGAACTTGTGAGACACCGAAAACCAAATGGAAAAGAAGAAGATTGAGGGTAAGCACGAAAGGATTACTGAATCGCACGAAAGAAAAACAGAAAATAACCCATAACCACAAGATTAAAAAAACATACCACTCATATCCTCAATCTCTACATGCACCGCCTGCATCCCCTGCTCCAATTTCCTCTTAATCGCCTCCATCGTCACCCCACTCGTCGGCGGTGGCGCTTGTGCGTCACTCATTTCTGTGTCAACTGTGTCGTCTTCTGCTCGTACTACTGCTGTGTCTTGTGCGTGTGGATCCACGGTCAACTTGTCGAGGGTCTTGTAGAGTTTGTGTCGTGGATCCATGGCACACACCCTGCGTTTCGTACGGATATTCCGAGCCGCGTAGGATTCGAGGGTTGCAGACTTATCGCGGGATCAGATTAGATGGCGGTGGGTGGGCTGCCGGAAGGGGATGGCTCGGGGCTTGGGAGGGGCAGGAGCGGGAGGGGTATGACGTGGGTCTGTGCGTGAGATGCGTGGAGCGCGTGTGGGATTGCTCTGGGACAGCTTGCGTGTTGGTGGTAGACGGGGTCTTCTTTTTCGCAAGTGAGCTGTATGTTTTTGCCTACGCTGCGTAGGTTTTCTGGCATTGGTACTGCGATTATGAGTGGCAAGAATACGTCCGCGCCGTTTTCGAGGGCGGTGGTTAGGGCGATGCAGAAGCTGTGAGTTTGCTTGTTCCTGAGTCGCGATTGAGCTTCACAACTTGTGGCTATGGAGGATTAGAAGCTCAATCGGCTTTAAATGGGTCTGTACTTATATTCTTCCAGCTACCCACAAGCCCTCGCGGACAATTCCTGGGACAACACCGGTCTGTTGCTAGAGGCGCCTTTCGTCCCTTCACGCCGCCAGTCAAACACCGTCCTGCTCACCATCGACCTTACAAAAGCGGTCGCAGACGAAGCGATCGAATGCAACTCCTCGATCATCGTCGCATACCACCCGATTATCTTCAGAGGATTGAAAGCCCTCACATTCGCAAACACACAACAGCAAACGCTGCTACGACTAGCCAGCCATGGCATCAGCGTATACAGCCCACATACCGCTGTCGACGCCGCGCCCGGCGGACTAGGGGATTGGCTCGCAGACATCGTCACAGGCTCACGGCCAAAGGAAGCCACACCTGAAGAATCCGAAGAGCAAGATACCAAAAAAGACAACAACGATGATGACCCCTTCATCGAGAAGAAACGCCCGACCTTCCAACTCCACCACCAACCCAGTCAAATGACCCAACGCCTCGCCAAACTCGCACCACCCAACGCCGAAGCCGTCCCACACAAACGCCGCCCCGTCGTCCCGCAATCGCCAGAGCTCAAATCCCATCCCGGCGCAGGCATGGGTCGCATCGTCGAATTCGACAAACCGCAACCTCTCACTGCACTCCTAGACCGTATAGGGAAAGGGCTAAATAACCCAAAGGGTTTCCCGATTGCTATACCGCAAGACGCCACCATCTCCGACATCAATATTCGCAGCGTGGGTATCTGCGCCGGCTCAGGAGGTTCGCTCCTCGGAAATCTAGATGTTGATTTGTTGTTTACAGGCGAAATGAGTCATCATGAAGCACTTGCTGCTATTGAAAAGGGACAAGTGGTTATCAGTCTCTTTCACAGTAATTCTGAGCGCGGGTTTTTGGCAGAGGTGTTGGCGGAGCAATTAGAGGAGGCGGTGGAGACGGAGTGGAAGTCGTTGCGGGAAGAGGAGTTGAAGAGGTTGGAGAGTGCGGATGTGGATGGCGAGGATGGCGTGAGAGAAGCGTTGGAGGAGGAGGAGTTTGAGGTTGCGGTCAGTGAGGTGGATAGGGATCCGTATGGGATTGTGGTGTTGAAACCGGATGCTGAGTAGAGTAGAATATTCGGGATGAGAAATGATTATTCGGTTAGTCAGTCTGACCTAGGCCTAGTATCTACAGTCTGTTGTACACGGGGTAGATACGTAGCTTCATACAGATATCTGCACGCTATGCTATGCCACTACCCAGACCCCGGCAAACATACCCAATTCTCCCGCCGAATTCCGCCCCGAAGCAAACCCCTGTTAGCCTCTCCTAACCCTAACCCCAACCCACTAAAACATCTTCCGCTCACGACATACACAGCCTCCTTGTCAGACTAGTTAACCAACTTTATAAATTTTGTATTTACGAGTCTTTTCATCGAAAGTCAATTACCACGGCGCAACAAAACTGCGCTTCTATCCTCCGTGGCGCAATTGGCTAGCGCGTTCGACTGTTATGAATCATCATTGCTATCGAGAGGTTGAAAGTTCGAGCCTTTCCGGGGGAGCATCTCTTTTTTTGCTTGGACACAATTTTTCAAACCACTAATTGTTGAGTTTGTTGGTGATTGTGGATTGACTGTGCTAGTCTTGGGAAGTATTATTTCTTTTTGTTTTCGATATTTAAAGGGTGGATAGGAGGACAGGCAGCGCCTTGCAGTACTTGCTGTGTTCTCTGGTTTAAAGTTACGGTTGTCATCTATCAACTACGTATAAATCTCCGACTTTTGCCATGCATGCTTTAAGACGTAAATTGCTCCAACTCCATGCATCTACTGCAAAGTACAACCAACATACATCATCCAATCCACAATCTACTACAAGCCCTTCCCAAATCCCAAACCCTCCTCAAATGTCTTCCATGCCCTCCCAACAGGCTGCACCAGCGTCCAACTCCTCGCCGAATCCCCCATACCCTGCACACCCGTCACAAGGTACAAAGGCGTAACCTCTTCATCGCCACTAAACCACAATTTCGGCCTCTCCCTCCTCTTAAACGCCTCGGTGCTCCCATCCGTAAACCGCACCACCGAAGAAAACGCTTCCTGCAATTTAAACGTCCACGGACCGTGTAAGCTGCGCGAAAACAAATGTGCACCCACTCTTGGAAACTTTGTCCCATTCTTCTCAACAATATCAATCATCCAGTGGGCAAGCGCGTGATAATGGCCCCGCTTATCGCGCCAGAGAAAGGGATCTTCTGTCCATGTGGTACTGTAATCTGACGTATTCCATTCAAATGTGTCATGAGTCAATGTATACCTTGCACCATCATCATCCCAACGTGTCGCAGTGTATATATTCAAATCTTCTGCTGCGAGGGCAATAGCAGAAGTGCGGTTTTGTGGCGTCCACAAGGGTAAGGGAGCGGGGTTTGTACCGTTGATGGTGAGGTGGAAGGGTGTCCATGGCCCTCGTATGTCGGGCGCAGAGGATACGGATATATTGTTCGGCCAGGAGGATTTTGGAATGGATTTACAGGTTTGTGGGGTGGGGATGTCGACGCCAATGGTCCAGAGGAGGTAGGTGGATGAAGAGGGGTTCCAGTGTACATAGGTGTTGTGGCGGAAACTAGAGGTTATGTTTTGTGCCCAGTGGTAAGGGCCTTGGGGTCCCGAGTGCGATTCTGCGCGTGCGACGAAGGAGGTTGGGCGCCAGGCGCTGAGGCCGCAGCCGTGCGCGAATTGGTCGACGAGCAGGTGGAAGAGGGTGGGGTTTGTGCGGTCTTGGATGATTTGGCCGCCCCAGGAGGAGTTGCCGTTGGGTTTGTAGTGCGTGGGGGATGTGTAGGTGGTGTGGTTGTAGCCAGTGCCGCGGGTTGCGGGGGAGAGGTCGAGACGGCCGCAGTCGGGGCCTGTCCAGCCCGGGTCACAGATGCAGTGGTGTGAGGTGCAGAGGCCGTTGAGGCTGCAGTCATCGTCTGCGGAGCATGGTTGTGCGAGGATGGGGGGGAGGAGTGTTGTGAGTAGGGTAATGAGAGTATGGAACTTCATTGTCAACTCTATGATCTGTGAGATAGGATTGGGTGTGCTGTGTACAGCATACGGTATATGACTAAATACTGAAATGCTGCTTCTTCGATATACAACTGCGTGTAATTAGTCCGGATCACCAAGTTCGGGATAATTACCTCCATAGATACTCACCTTTCTAGCCAGAATGCATGTACCCCGCAATGATCATCATCACCAAGCACTCACCAAGCCAGGGGCAACCGTCAAATAATCTATTCCATTCTCAACTGCCTATAAGGTGAGAGTCGTTTGCCATCGCTAGAACTACGCTATGCCTCGATGCCAATTTTGCTAGTATACAACCCCTTTGAAGAATGGTCAGGGCCAGATGGGATGAGATGTCGCTGCAACGCATGGTGGCGCGATCGAAGATGTGTGACAGTATTTTACAAATGCGCCAAATCCCAAGATCAAAACCCTCCTCTTGTATATATCCAGCCAATAAACCTGTTCTGCGCCTAAAACAAACGCCCATGTGCTTAGAGCAGTGTAACACCTATCGCCGAGGCGTCACTTTCGTTTCTTAGTCTTCGAGAATGTCCAGTAGAGAATCGAGGACGTCGTCGTCGTTGTCGGTACTATCTTCGTCAATAGCTTGCTGTATCTGAGCGCCAAACGCATCGTCGTCCGAGTCGTTATCATCTCCGCTCTCAGAACCAAAGCCACTATCATCAGCAGAAAAGCTGCCCGGCTCCTCTGCGCCCGCTATAGCATCCGATGATGAGCCTAACACACTATCTTCGTCGCCATCCGTGACTCCACGCCAGCTTTGCTCGCCATCATCCCCATCGTGAGCAGCATCGTTATCATCATCATCGGGCTCCGTATCCCCGCCCTTGTCGTATCCGCCGAACCCGGGCCCGCCGACGAAGGGCCCTGAATGTGGTGTTGCGTAGGCAAAGGGGGTCGATTTACCTGTTACAGCAACGGATCTTTGACTGGGGCGGCTGGTCACATCTGAGACCGACCTTGGAAGGACGATTTGCGAGGAATAGAATGGTGATGGTGGTTCTCGTGAGCGGCGGGGTGTCGGGTTCCAGACAGTGACTTCTGTCTCAGCTGGCGCATTCTCTTCTCCGCGCGGCGACGACGAAGTCGCAACACGCCGTCTCTTCATCCGTGTAATGGAGATACTAGGTGCTCGAGAAGTAGGTTGTGGTGCTGAGGACTGCTTGGTTGGAGATGAGTTGAAACGACGCTTTGAGGATCCTGGAGGAAAGGTCTCAACAGCAGAAGCCGATGCTGTGCGGTGTAGTCGAGGTCCAAGTCTTCGTGGGTGGATTTCACTAAGAGGTGAGATAGGCTGAACTTGTCTGTTCTTGAGGATCGAACTTGGTGTGATTGATCGTCGCCATCTTCGATCAGATGGTCGCATGGAGAGCTGTACAGACTGGTTGCTGCCGAATGACGAGTGAACACTAACCGGCGGGGCGTCTATAGCCTCGACAAACTGCCAGCACAATTCCTTAGCATCAGCTTCGGGTACTTGCGGTTGGCAATGCTCGTCGTTGCCCTCCATCTGTGAGTCTTGATCAGCTTGGAGCCGGGGAAGCTGTCGCAATTCCGGCCAAGATTGCTCCCGGACCATAAAGTCGCCTTGTTGCGTGTAAGCCTCACGCGTTGTAATGTATAGCCTCTTCTTGCCACCTGATACTCGCATCAAGACGCCGGATGCAAGAAATTGGGCAGACCAGAGTGCAGAGGTAGCCATCTCCGCAGGTGTAAGGTATTCCAGCCTAGACTGCTTCATAAGCTTTCGCAGAGGTATGTAGGACGCCCGAAGACCAGGGTATTCAGCGATCATGGGGTTGGCTTTGGAATCATCGTAAGCTACGTGCTCAGAGACTTCGGCGAAAGCATACGCCAACGAGGTTTGAATGTCTTTGGCACTTACGCCACTCAGGGTAACCTTTTTGACGAACCCCCTGCTTTGAAGCCTTTGATAGACAAGATTCTTACTTGCACAAGCCTTGGGAAAGAGCCAGTCATCCTCGTAACCGGCAGCCCAATCGCTAATGGCTTGGCTGTCCCATCCATTCTCTGAGCTGCCGAGTACGGAGCTCTTCAAAGATGCCTGGGCACTGGGATAAGGGCTTGAGTCAGTGTCCCGTGCAGAGGCCTCACCCGTTCGAAGGTTCTGTCCTAGTTTGGCATGTCTAGCTTGTGTCCATTCCTCCGAGCTCTGGGTTGTGGTGTCGGAAGGACCGTGCATTGGCTCATCGGGAGCAAACCAGATTCCACGCAACTCTGGACCCCAAGGTAGTAGAACAACCTCAATCTCCCATGGATGCAGCGAGGTGGGAAGGGCTGCAGCTTCAAGCAGATCTAGACGGTCCTTGATAGTGTCAATCTCGATCTCGGTGTCTTTCCGGTCCATGGCAGCCAGTATGAGCGCAGAAGAGGTGGCAGAGTCTATAGACTGATTGGAGGCGAATGAAGCGGTTAGATTGTTAGGGTGTCTTCGATCGTAAGAACTGACGCTTTGCTCGGCATCAATGGCTTGATGGTACTTTTCGTGTTCGTCCATGCGATGCTCAACTTCGATAAGCCTACCTTCGTACATCTCTAGAGTCTGGTTGAGGTCCTCGGGCTGAACATAGTTGAAGGACCCGCTTTCGAGCATGTCTAGACGGCTTCCAAGATCCTGCATCGTTTTGGCCACGTTGGGTATGGAGCTGAGAAGATTGTGCAACGGAGCCAGATAGGAAACTAGCTTCTGAAGACCTTGCGGGGTGGCTGTCCTCAGGATGTGTTGGAGGTGTTGCTCCTGGGCTAGAGAAGGAGAGTTTGTCAGCAGAAGCGTTGGGACGGTCGTCGTTTCTGTTGATTTGTCTGGCGAGCCATCAGGCTGGACGATGTCTGACGTCAGGCGAGCAAGCGTATCGATGAACAGTTTTCCTTCTTGGACAGCTTGGTCGGCTGCGCCCAAGTCAGGCGTGTTTTTGACACTTGGTGTTGCAACTTCTGTCGCGCTTTGGATATAGTCATCTGGATTGTATGTATCAGGAACGGTATCGCCGGGCACGTTCAGTTGGAGATTGCGATTGAATTCGAAAACTTCTCCGAGTATGCCATGCCCGGGACTGGCAACTGTATTGGCTTCGGTCGAGTTCGCTCTCGTTGTTGGTAGCTCTGGCTCGCTCTGGGTACGCTGCAGGGCGCGGGTGACGCCGAAGTTATCAGGTATGGTGGGAGTTGGAGACTGCAGACGATTAGTCGTACCCATGCTTTCCAAGTGCATCATCGACAAGCCAAGTCCTGCTACACCCTGTCGTGACTGATTCACGTCGCGCCTAACACCGTTGTCAGTTGCTGGACGCTGTTCATGAGAAAGCATGCACACGGAGGGAATCCTTGGCAGGCCAGTTGTGCTGGTCTGAGAAGGGAAGTCCCGACCTTGCTTGAAACGACTCAGCCCATCGGCCTGTAAGGCGCTCTGGTATGAGGGCTGCTGGGTTGGACTAGCATGCGACATGTGCACATGCCCAGTCTGC